CCCCCCCGCCGCGCTCACCTGCGCTGGGGCCGGCAGCGCCCCGGGCCGCGCGGACGCTCCCGCCTCCCCGGCCGAGGGAGCAGGCGCAGGGCCGGAGTCCAGCGGGAGGCCGGAGGGCTGCGGAGGAGGGAGGGAGCGCCGAGCACGGCCCCGCGCCGGAGCCGGCAGCGCCGCAGGGACATGACTGATTTCTTCCCCCTTTTGCTTCCCTCGCCCTGTGAAATACCCCCGTGTCAGCACGAAGTCACCCGCACGGGGCCGGCTGGAGCTATTTCCAGCACACTGGGAGGCTGGGAAAAGGAGCTGGAGATTTCACCCAGGGAGAAGGGGAAGCAGAAGGCCAAGAGGAACCTGGGGAAGTTGGCAGCACCTCTCCAAGCAAAACGCTGCAGACACTGCGGGCAGCGCCAGGGCCACGCTGAGGGGCTCTGGTGACAGGGAGGAGAATCCCCCCTGCTCCCCTGCACCTCCACATGGGAAGGGGACAGACACCAAGTCCTTGCAGAGCTTTATTGAGGACGGTTTCAGCTCACTGCAGCCTGAGGGACCTGCCGAGGCTGCACAGCCAAGGGGAGAGGCTGCTGCCAGCAGAAGAGACCCCACGGCAGGAGGACAGCCCCGACCACGCTGGGCGCAGAGCCCTGCCCGGGGCAGCACGAAACAGCACCGTCCGGGGGCCTCGGCAAGGCCGGTCTCACAGGTGCCTCTTCATAAACACGAGCCCACCAGGACCATGACTGGCCCTTGCAGCAGACACGGGGAGCAGGCAAGTCTGCCTTTCCCAAGTCCAGAGTCTTTCCTCTACATCTTGAATCCAATTAAAAACTAAATAAATCACATGTAAACAAATAAAAAAAAAAAAAAAAAAAAAAAAAAAAAAAGGAATAAACTACTGGACACAGGAAGAGCAGAGAAGGAGAATGCCCCGGAGACCGAGCACCTGGCAGGTCAGGGGTAGCCTCACACTCCAGTGACTGCAGCTGCCCCGACTGCTCCTCCCCACAGCTAAAGCCACCGCTGTCACGTTTAGCCCCAGCTGAGGAGCAGATCCGTCATAGCTGGACTTCTGGTCCCTTCCCAGACGGCAGCTGTAGGTCAGAGTTTTGCTTCCCTTTGGTCAGTGAGGAACATTGGAGAGAGCAGCCAGCTCAGCATCGTTTCTACTGCAGCAAAGGGCTTTGGAAGGGCTCTCCACTTGGCGCCAACAGGTGAAGTCTTTCCCTGCCTAAGATGTTGCAGGGTTGATGCCTTCTCCTCAGCTCTCTCATTTGCGCCTTCAGTCCGATTTCTTTGCAGGTTTCCTGTTTTTCCACATCACAACCACTATGAAAATGCCTACCAGGAGAAAGAGGCCAAATTCAATTAGACGTTTCCCAGTTACTGGGGCTTTTGAAACGCACTGCAGCGAGAAACAAAACCTCAGCAGAGGCAGAGAAAGCACCCGCCGCCCCCGAGCTCCAGCAGTCGGGGTGACCGCCGCAGCGCCGCGCTGAGCTCTCGCTGCAGGCGCCACAGGCAGCGATCACAAGCGTCACGCGCCAGCCAACCCCAGGCAACCCTCCTGCTCATTTAGAAACCTCTAGTTAGAGCCACTGAGATAACACTCACCTATAAACAGCAGCAGCAGGAGCCCAGCCACCACGGGGATGATAACGGCGTATTCCCTGGGCAGGAAGTACCGGTGGAGGCCGTGGTCGCTGTCGATGAACGGCTGCGGGAAACACAGGGGATCAGCACGGCGGCACCGCGCGAGGGCCGCTCGCCACCACCCGCAGCCTCGGGGCTGCCAAAGCGCCATGGAAACATCGGGCTGGAAAAAGATGCCCAAAAAAGGGCACCCAGACCTGCATGGGGCCAGGGCCACCGCGCAGCACCGCTGCGGACAGCGCGAGAAGGAGCAACGGGCAGAGCACTTCAGTGCTCAGCAGCGCACGGCAGCGGCAGAGGGGCTGCAGCTCCGGGCTTCCAGCGGCTCCCGTCCTGCTTGGTGCCCAACACATGGAATCCCTGCACTCGCTGGCATTTGTGTAAGGGAAGAGCAGATAGAATTTGATTTGTTTCACTCTGTTTCTGCCAGGGCACATTAGCGGAGGAAAGTGGAGTACTTTGGACGCTAGAGAGCAGTATAATAATTACTTTAAATAGGTTAGACAACAGAGGGAGCAGATTGTAGAGGGGAATTCAAAACTCTGAGGGGAAGCTGCTGGGAAGCCAGAGGCCAGCCCAAGGCTGAACCAGGCCCTTCACAAAGCTCACAGGGAGCCATTTCCTTCCCAGGTGCCTGGGGAAGTGGTCAGGCTGTTAAACCAATTTTCTTGAGCTCCACATTCCTAAACTCTTCCCCTCCTGGGCTCTAGATTTAGTGAGCAGAATCGCTTTTTATCTTTCCCTTTGTCATCTCCCGCCCAAACCAGGGATCAGAAGGTAGCAAAAGCAAACACTAATGACAGCATTCGTTATCCAACACCTCTGGAACAACGAGGCTTTAGCCCCAGTGACAATCCAGGTGAACCTCAACTCTTACACCAGCCAAATCTGTCTCAGAGCAGCAGGGTAACAGAGTCCAAGATTGGTCCTACCCAAACAAAAGCAACATACTTAGAAAGGGTAAGGTCTGTACCAGCAAATTCTACACTGGGAAATTCCACAGTGACATTTTTTCCACCAGGAAGCCGGCAAAGTAGAGTTCTTTCAGTCACAAGGACCAGCACCTAAATAAAGTCTAGACAGAAGAGTTGCTGAGATTACAACAGGCAGAGCAAGGCCCATACCAGTATGATGATCCAGATGGTGTAGTAAACGAAGAGAGCGAGGCTGAAGGCTACCAAGCCAAATCCAACCACCTGGTCCGTTGCTGTGGCCTGGAAAGTAACAGAGTCAGAGCAAACGAGCACTTTGTGCAGTCTGGGCAGGAACAGCAGGGACGCCGTTTATTGTTCCGCGCCTTACAGGAATGTTTGGCGGCAGTTTTGAAGGAAAATTTTGAAGGATGCAAGGGAAGAAGCCTGTGAGGCAGAGATATTTATTGCACATGCTCCGGTGAGAACCGCCGTGCCCCCAAGCCGTGGGGCGGCCGGAGCCTTCCCGCTCCGCGGCTGCTGCAGGCACCGGGCCGCACGG